TATGCATTCTAATCCCGTATAATAGTGACAAATTATTATTTTGCCTTTTGTCAGAAAAAGTTCAAATTTTCTCGAGTTTTACACAATAGATATACAAAAAGGGNACTCCATCCGAGCTCTATAGACTTATGCATTCTAATCCCGTATAATAGTGACAAATTATTATTTTGCCATTTGTCAGAAAAAGTTCAAATTTTCTCGAGTTTTACACAATAGATATACAAAAAGGGTTCAAAGTAAAGTTTTGTATTTAGATCAACCAGGATTCAGTCTAAATTTGATTTGTTGATAGGCTAATATCCACACCCGAACTTGTAGGAATGAAGTGATTTATCAATAAAACTAGGCTATAATATGACAATAATTTTGGTGGATTTTCTGAATATTTGAGGCAATTTTGTTGTAATTCAATCAATTCAGATCACAATTGCTTATAAGATCAACTATCAGGTTGTCAAGAAATATATATGGACGGATGTTTATATCCGTTGGATGTACATAAAAAATTCAAAATAAATTTTGTATTTAAATCGTCTAAATTCGATTCTTTGATAGGCTAACATTCACACTTTCCCCCGCTTACCCCATTGCCAAACTCCACCTTTCCACACCTACCACACTTACTGCGTAGTTCCATCTTTTTCATCCTACCACCCTTCCTCCTAATCTCCCTCTTCATTCTCCTCTTCTCTCTCGCTCACTCTTGTGCACACACATAAACATGGACACACACAAATTCTCACCCACTCAAGCTAAAAGGATTTGCGAATTGATGAGTGGTAGAGAATAAACTTGTTTATGGCTCTTTGAGATAAGATTTGATATCTAAGTTCTTTAAAAAATATAAACTCATTGGTGGTTCGACAATCTACATATTGTGGTGGGTGATGGTTTACAAATGGGTCATGGTAGTGGCTTCGTTTTCCAAGGTGTTGTGCATGTGAAGTATGACGTTGGGAAACACATGGTGACACCACGTAATAATGATAATACGATGTCACTGTTATACCTAATATTTACTTGGGAAGGAGGGGTTCCAACAAGGGAGGAAAAAGGTGGACTACAATGGTTGGTGACGATGGAAGATAATTGAACTAAAATTAATGATTTTAATTGAATCTGATCATAAATTATTCCTAGTTAACTACTTAATAAATTAATGAAATATAACTAATGAATAAATTAAAGAGATATATTATGATTAACAGATTAAATGTGATGGATGAATTGTGATTAATAAATGATTCATTAATGATATTACAGTTAATATGCAATTGAATAATTATTTATCATAGTTACAGAAATTCAGAATGAAATTTACCCTTCTTAAAGTAAAGTGGGAGGGCAGAGCTATCTTTTCAATGGTAATTTGGGGGCAATCGAGGTCTTATAATTATCACTTTTACAATAAAAAGGTATTTTTGCACTATTTTAAAGAGAGATTTGGTGAGAGCTCAACATAGAGTGACAAATTTGGCTTTAGGTCCGGCCTCAACACTTTTAAGGGTAAAAGTCTATTAAATCAATCATTAACAAAAATACCGTTAATGAAGGAGGTTATTTAAAAATCTCCACCATTATCTAATTTTTATATTTATTATCACTATCATCATCATTTTAATGTCACCATTACCACCTATCGCCACTACCATCACCCAAAACCCACCACCCCTCATCGCCACTAACTACCACCCACCACCACTATCACCCACCATTGCCACAAACCACCACCACCACCCATCGTCATCGCCACCACCAACCACTGCAACCACCATCTTCACCAATCACCACTAACAACAATCCAAAACCCCCACCCACTAACACCCACCATCGCCATAAACCACCACCATCACTCTCCATCGTCATCAACCACCACCAACCACCGCCGTCCTCCAACCACTACCCACCACCCATCATCACCTGTCAACCACCACGACCAACAATTGTTGTCAACCACCACCCATCCCCATTAACCACCACCCACCCCCACCCACTAACACCCACCACCACCATCACCCACCATTGCCATAAAACCACCACCACCACCACCCATCATTGTTACCAACCACCACCACCAGCCAATACCGTCTAGTAACCACTACCTAGCACCAACCCTTACTCGCCAACCACCATCACCTATTGTTGGCAACCACAACCCATCGCCACAACCACCCACCGTTGCCACTACCATTACCCACAACCCCCACCCACTAACACCTAACACCCGCCACAACCATCACCCACCAACCACCATCATCCACTATCGTCCACCAACCACCACATGCCACCCACTGTCACCAGCCAACCACCACCACCACCCAACGCCACCACCATCATCACCATCCATCGTCACTAACCCCCACCCACCACTCGCAACCACTAACACCCGTTACCAACCACCGCCATCGCCATAATCCACCACCACCCACTANCCACCACCACTTACCACTACAATCACCACCACCCATCGCCGCAACCAACACCACCAATAGCCACTAACCACCACCCACTAACACCCACCAACCGTCAGCACCATCACCCATTAACCACCACCCATTACCGTCCACTAACCACCACTCGCCACCCCTTTGACACTCTCCAATTACCACCACATATTGCCACCACCCCCCGCCACCACCACTCACCACCACCACCCACCGCCAATTACCACCACCCACCATCGCCGCCAACCATCATCATCCACCACTCAAAACAATGAAAAACTAGCTCACCACCGCCAACAACCACCACCACTACCACCACCACAACTACTACCACCATCACCGTCGCCATCGCCCACCACTACTACCCATAGTCGCCCACCACCACCACCTTCACTCGCCACCCACCGTCACCCACTAACCATAGCCACCAACTATCATTGCCAACCACCATCCATTGCCACCACCCATCACCACCAGCACCACTTGTCACCTACCACCATCACTTCCACCCACTAAAACCCATCACTACTCTTCACCACCGTAAATGACCACCATCCACCATCGTCGCCAACCAACACCCAAAACAGTGAAAAATTAGCACACCACCACTCGCGATTGCCGCCAACCACTACTACGTGCCAACCACTACTACCACCACCCATCACTATTAACCATCACCCCATCCACACCTAATAGCACCCGCCGCCACCATCATCGCCAATCACCACCACCCATTATCGTTGTCAACCAACACCATTCACCACCCCAAAACACTAAAAAATTTACTTACCACCACCCACTACCCACCATCGTTGCCAACCATTACTACCCAAAACTCACCACGACCCACCAACCGTTGTTGTCACAATCACCCACAATTACCATCAACCACCACCGAAAGCAGTAAAAACTAACTTACCATTCAAAACAGCAAAAAACTCATCCACCATCGCAACCAACCATCTCTATCCACCACCCAAAATAGTAAAACACTAACCCACTACCCATAACTATCACCATCGCCACTACCACCCACCATTGCTGCTAACCTCTACCACTCACCACAAAAAAAGGTGAAAAACTAGCCTACAACCCACCACCAACTCTCTCTGCCAACCACACCCTCCCACTACACAAAATAGTGAAAAACTAGCTCACCATAGCCCATCACTATCGCCACCACCACTCACCATTTCTGCCAACCACCACCACCCAGAACAGTAAAAAACTAGTCTATCATCCACAACATTACCCACTACCCACTAGCACCACCCATCATGGCCACCCACCACCATCACCCAAAACAGTAAAAAACTAAACCACCATCACCCACTGCCATTGCCACCACCACCTATCATCGTCGTCACCCACCACCCAAAATAGTGAAAAATTGCCAACCACCCAACACCACACATCACCACCATCAAGCACCACCACTCACCATTGTTGCCAACCACCACCACCCACCACCAAAAATAATAAAAAAATTAGTCCACCACCACCCATCCGTCATCGCCACAACCACTCACCATCGTCACCAACCACCTCCATTCACCATCCAAAATAGTAAAAAATTAACTTACCACCCAACATTGCTGCCAACCCCCACTATAATTCACCACCACCAACCACTATCGCCACCACCCAAAATAGTAAAAACTAGTGAAAATAGTAAAAATTCAACTTATTTTATTATTTCGGTCATTGAAATTGGAACTTAGTTTTATCTCATTTACTTGATATTGAAATATATAAAATTTGAACACAAAATTAGTGAAAACAATAAACTTAAAAATAATATTAGTGAACTCAAAAATAGTGAACTCAAAGCCAAGTCGAGTTGGATTTGATCTCTGCCACAAACGGATCATGGAATCGAGGATTTCGCGGAAGGGAAGTGAGGATTTCTCAGCTCTATGGACAAACAAAAGTGAGATTCTCCTTCATGTAAATATTATATACAGTCATTCAAACTTGAGCTCGGGCATTCCAATGACCTTAGATTAATAATCCAGAGTAGTAACATAGAAGAGACAAGTAGCAGCAGACTCTACTTTTGGCCGACCAATATACATACGCTTCAATGTGGATTATCTGAAGCACCATGTTAGTGAAAAATTAGCAGATGAATCCTAATAATTATAATCTTTTCATCCATCCAACAGATTGCAATGAACATCAATACATGGACTCAATCGGACAGTAATGATCAGAAAAATCAGACAACTTACTAACACCACAAGCGGCAAGATAAAGCAAAGCTGGTGCTCCCAAACCTCCGGCTCCAACAACTAAAAAATCGAAGATTTGACTGCCCTACATTCAAACAGCCAATTGAATTACAGCCTTTAAACTAAATTCATCAAATCAAGTGAATTGTAATAACAGATAGTGGGGCAGGAAAGCAGACCTTGAACACCGAGAAGGCTTGTTTAGGGATTTGATCAGCGGTGGACAGGGCGAGCTCCATGTAACCCGATTTGGAGAGATTCCCCCAACAACAATTTCATAACAAAGAGTCTGAATATTATATTGCACCAAGCATTATCCTCAAACTCTGCCTTTGCACATGCATGGAGATGTCAATTCATCACTATCTTCGCCATCGCATTCGACGCAAATTTGGCAGCAAGCAACGGAACTAGCTTCGATATCCTCATTCTTTATCTCACTTGAACTCGCTGACATTGACGATGATGACGATTGTGAGTCCACATGGTGATTGTCTAACAAAGGATCGGAGTCTCTAGGGTTTGGATCAGCCGATTGCTCCAGCTGTAATTCACCATTCACCGTTCATCAAGGAAGTTTTTACATGTATTCCACGTGCATTCACTTCCGAAGAAGACCAGGTGAAGAAGAACCACCACTGGAACTCTACGCTCAAGAGAAAGCGCTCGTCGATGAGCGGTAAAGAAGGTGAGGAGTTTTTAAAGGAAACGAATGCATTAGGACTAAAGGGTACGGTGATCACTAAAAAAAGTGATTAAACTAGATTGAACTAGAAAACCGATAATATCTAAGAAAAATTCTAAGTTTGACATCAGGCATCGAGGTCAAGCCAAGTGAGCCAGAGTTCAGAGGTCCAAACCTTAGGCTCCCTCAACCTGCACCACGAAGAAAATGAGTAGAAGACAGTTGTCAACCATAAAGCGCCCCCTCAACCACAATAAGCACCGGTCTAGGTGCAAGAACCTCAACTGCCTAAATTGTCGCCTAAAATCAAGTGAGATTTTGCAAGAGGGGGGCGAAGATCTCGTCACAGACCCCATAGAATTAGGAATAGGGCTATAAATACCGTAAGAAATCCTCACAAAAAAAAAAAAANCTTGCCATATTTTTTTAGCCTTAAAGTTTGATTTTTATGTGAGATTTAACTAGAAATTCCTTTTTTTTAGATAAGTACAGCTGACAGTAAAAAAAGTGGTGCAAGAAAATTTGAGCATTAAAATTTATTAATATAATTTTTTTAAAAATTAAACGAGTCTTGTCATGTTATCTGTTACAAAATTTGTTCATATGTTATTTGACGTCGAAAATATGTTAGTCGCAAAAAATNGACCTGCACCACGAAGAAAATGAGTAGAAGACAGTTGTCAACCATAAAGCGCCCCCTCAACAACAATAAGCACCGGTCTAGGTGCAAGAACCTCAACTGCCTAAATTGTCACCTAAAATCAAGTGAGATTTTGCAAGAGGGGGGCGAAGATCTCGTCGCAGACCCCATAGAATTAGGAATAGGGCTATAAATACCGTAAGAAATCCTCACAAAAAAAAAAAAACCCAAAAAATTGTGTCAAGAATTCTATGTAATTTCTCCATAATCAATACAGATCACAGTAGGAAGAGACTCCCTTAAGAATAGATTAGCTGAGTTTCTAAGCTGGTGAACAACTATAACTCTCCTGTGCAATCTGTCTCTTATCCCCAAATTGCCACGTTATTCCCAAGAGCTAGGTAGCTCAGATTAAATCATGTTGTTTATATATTCTGGTCAACCACCACTACAACAAATTTGATTTTTAGAGACGAGTTTTGGCGACGAACAATAAAATTTGTTATAAAAAAGTGATTTTCGGCGACAATTTTAAATGTTTGTCGTGGTAAATTTTTTTATGATATTTTTGGCGACCATTTTTCGTAGTCGTCGCAAAAACGTTCCCTTCAAAAAAAATTGGCGCCAATATTGGTGCTAAATGCTAATTTTATGGATGACAAAAAAAATTATCGCCAAAATAATTTTTTGATCACAAAATTTTTGTCAAATAACGAAAAATAAGAAAACAAAAATAATAATACTTAGCGACAATACATGTTTGTCGAAGGAAAAAAGTTAAATTTTTTTTTTGTTTGGCGACAATTTATATTTGGTCGCAAAATATCACTACAAGAAAACTGTTTTACTGTAACAACTTTTTGTGGTGTGTAAAAAAAATTGTCGCAAAAAAAATACATCCTACAAAAAAAATTGCGTTTTGTTGCCAAAAAGTATTATAATGATCTTCAATGATTGAAGCACTACAATGTATTTATTTTGATTTGTTACAAGGACAATAGTAATCATAAAATGCCACTCTTTAGAAATGATTTTGTTTGGTGATGAGTAGGTCTATCAAAATCTGACATGACACGATTAACTAACACAAATCAACATGAATTAAGCAGATTTGGATGGTAAACAGGTAAACCCGTTAGACACATTTAATAAACAGGTCATGTTTGGGTGAGATCTGTCAAATTGTTTATCACACGTTTACCCATTTAAATATAATTAATATAATAATAAATTAATAATTATTTTAAAAAATTAGCCAAAAAAAAGATGTGAAGAAATCAATACCAAAAAAAAAAAAAAAGTAAAATAATAGTTCAAAGACAAAAAGATGAGAGATAATAAGATAGGGAGCAGTGCAAAGACAAAGGCAAACCAATATCTTTTTTTTTTGTCCCACATCGGTAAATGAGACGAGATGAGGAGGGCTGACTTGCCTATAAAAGGCAATGGCCACTTGCCATATTTTTTTAGCCTTAAAGTTTGATTTTTATGTGAGATTTAACTAGAAATTCCTTTTTTTTAGATAAGTACAGCTGACAGTAAAAAAAGTGGTGTAAGAAAATTTGAGCATTAAAATTTATTAATATAATTTTTTTAAAAATTAAACGAGTCTTGTCATGTTATCCGTTACAAAATTTGTTCATATGTTATTTGACGTCGAAAATATGTTAGTCGCAAAAAATGTATCTTGATTTTTAGCGACAAATATTATGTCATCACCAAAGAGAAAAAATATGATCATAATATAATTTCTTTCGACGAAGAAGTTTTTTTTGTGACAAATAGATGAATTTTAAAGTGACGAAGTTTTTTGTCACTGATTATCTACTTTAGCGACGGTACTTTAGTTGGTCATCAAAAACTTTCAATGGCAAGCTTGTCGCAACAAATTGGCGATCAAGTTTTTTTGTCACAGAAAACTTTTAGCAATGAATTATTCACTTTTAGCGACGACTTTTTTTGCCGGTAAAAAATATTTTTCTTGTAGTGCACGTTTTACACACCATCAATTTAACATCGTATGTGAGAACGACTGTTCCTGTTACAAATACATTGATTTTTTTAGTAATTGATGGTCTCTATGCGCAATATGAGCAGAAGCCAGTTGAATCTTCAGTGGTTGCAGAACTAGCAGAAAGCCACCAGTGGAAGACAATAAGAAAATCTTCAAGACTTCCTGCCCACCACTAAGACTAATCCTTCTATGCCAGATCCCCCTTCAAATAACGAACTAGAGGCTCTCGGCCTAGTCAATTAGTGTCTACTACAACAAAATGAACAGATCTTGAAGCTCTTACAACGCCCTCAAAAGACATGGCCAGTAATCCCCCATAAGGGGAGCATCAATGTGTCGATCCCGTAAGGGAGTTTAACAAAGAGGTAAAAATAGCCAGGCCATGGGTCATGCTCCTCATCCACCTCCTAGNCCCCGGATGACCCCAATAATCCCCCATAAGGGGAGCATCAATGTGTCGATCCCCTAAGGGAGGTTAACAAAGAGGTAAAAATAGCCAGGCCATGGGTCATGCTCCTCATCCACCTCCTAGGAATGGTAATAACGAAGAAGTACAGAGCCAGAATGTGGGAACTGAGTAAAATAAATTTCTCCCTTTCCCATAGAAAAAAAGAGAGCAATATTGGGAATAACGCTTTAAAGATATCCAGTAGGAGCTTAGCCACATAAAGGAGGCTGTGAGAGATAAGACCCCAATAACTATGGACGCCCTGGTACAGTAGACTAAGTCCCCTTGCACCGCTGATGTAGTACACTTCCCCCACCCTCCAAGGTTTAGAATGCCCCAGATGGAGGCCTTCGATGGGATGAAAGATCCCATGGATCACCCCAACACCTATAAGAAACAAATAGATTTGCACAGATATCAAGACCCTGTACGATGTCATGCCTTCACAATCACGTTAAAGGGCTCAACCTTAGCATGGTTCAATAGGCTAGCCCCGATATCCATCTATTGCTTTAGAGAGCTCTACATATCCTTTGTGTCACACTTCATAGGAGCTCAAACCTACCAAAAGTCGAGCTACCATTTGCTGAATGTGAAACAAGGACCCAACGAGAACTTATGATCTTATGTCCAAACGTTCAACTCAGAATCATTGAAGGTAGACATTCCAGATGAAAAATTCGCCATCACTACTTTCATCACTGGGTTAGGAGTATAGTCGAAGGAATTGATGTTCTCCATATCAAAAAAACCACAAGCCAACATGGCAGAGATGTCGGCCAAGGAAAAAAAGTACATTAATGGCAAAGAAGCTTTTATTTTTAAGGTAGGGAGCTGATCTACATAGAAGGATAAAGGGAAGGAGGAGAAGAAGAGGGACCGAAGTCACAAAAAGAAAAAGGATGAGATAGGCCTCCAAGAAGAGACCAAGATTGTTCCCCAAGAGAAGGAGAGATGTCAAAGATTTCCTAGGACCTCCACAGCCAGAATTATAGCCAAGGTATGCACCTCGACAACTCACTCTACTCATAGGTACGATATCCCAAATCATCTACAAAGTACAGAATCAAAAATTCCTAAGATGGCCACCTCGAATTAAGGTAGACCTAGAAAAAAAAGATACAACAAAGTATTGTGAGTACCAAAAGGACCACAAATACCTCATTGATGATTGCAGGCAGTTGAAAAAGGAAATCGAGTTCCTGATTCAACGAGATAGTTTTGTTGCTTTGTGGCGCATGATAATCAGAACCGAGCTCAAACACCTCAACAACAAGTCTTGCACAACATCAACAACTTTTAGGGGAGATCATAGTGATATCTAGAGGATTCACTAGGGGCAGGGAGTCCAATTCAGCCAAGAAGGCTCACCTGCCCAAAATTAGAACTTATGAGATACTGGAAGTACATACCGTGTCCAAAAAATCTCGCCTGAACACGAATATCAAGTTCTCAAATTCAGACTTAGATGACTACCAACATCCGCACGATGACCCCCTAGTGGTAAGGGTCATCGTCGCCAATAGAACTATCCATCGAGTCCTAGTTGATAACGGGAGTTCTGTTGACATCATCTTCACGCCTACCTTTGACAAGATGGATATAGGCAGAGATAAACTCGAGCCAGTAAGCGCTCATTTGTTAGGATTCTAAGGGGAGAGGGTCCTACCCTTGGGATCAATCCAACTAGTCCTCACTATGAGATATCCTCCCTGCCAGACCACCACCACTGTGAGGTTCCTAGTGGTCGATGCACC